TTCGAAAAAAACTGCTATTTTTAAAAATACAATTTGTTTAAACAGCTATGTCTCATTTTAGGCTATTGAGTATTATAAAATAAAAAATTACGGGATGCTTTGTTAGCTTCAAACGAATCCAGCAGAGCACCCCAGTTTTTTTTTAAACCACACCACGTTTTTTGGCTCCTACAATATTATAAAATATTCGAAATTTGGCATTTTAAAAAAAATTCGCAATTCCTTGCTGACTTCAAAGTTTTTTTCTGAAAACAAATGTACTTACCACATTTTTAGGATTTTAAAACAGCCTAAACATGTGTCATAAGTAGTTGTTTTTATATATAAAAAAAAAAAATTAAAAAACTGAAGTGTCCTGCTGACTTTGTTCCAACAAAGCACCCTGTATTATTTAAAAATAGCAATTTTTTTAGTAAAGTTTTACAATATTTCAAGAGTCTAAAAATATTCTAAAAATGGGGTGTGGTTTTTAGAAAAAAGCTTTAAAAAACCGAATTGCTCTGCTGGCTTCTTTCGAAGGTTAGCAAGCACCATGTATTTTTAAAAATATAATATTTCAAGTGCATAAATATATGGTGTTGCTGTTTTTACAGAAAAAACTTTATAAAATAGAGGTGCTTTGCTGACTTTGTTCGAAGCTATAGAGCATTTTAAGTTTTGCAAAAAACGAGGAGCATAAAATTTTTGAAAAGGGTATAAAAATAGCCTAAAAATATGGCATATTTTTTAACTCAAAATTTCATAGGTGCTCTGCAGCATTCTTTGGTATCATAATTATTACTAGGTTCACTAACAAAATCTGTTTCTAGATTATTTTAACACTTGCTGCGATTACAAAAAATGTCTGTAGGTCAAAATTAGAAAAAAAATATTTATAGGAATAAAGGGCCTTATAAACTGTTTATTATATGTAATATAAAAACAAAAAAGCATAATAAATATTACAAACCTTGACATGCAGCATATCCTTAGCATATTGTGCACTAAAAATTTCATTTTTGTTAATTACAATGCAACCACATCAGAAGGTTTTTGCCGTACTTTATGTTTAGGTGTAATTTGTCTCCTTCTCTCTTATGGAAAAAGAAATTATCCACATATACTTGCTTGGCAGATCTAAAAATAAAACCTGAGATAAATATGTTTTACTTGCTCCATATAAACTGTAACTACCTACTATTAAAACAAAGTCTTACCTTTGTGACTAACAAAGTCTTACCTTTGTGACTTTTGTAAACTGAGTATTGTTAAAAAATGCAGTAATCATCTCGGTAATCATATTTTCGTTTACAATGGGTAAAACACTTGATTCAACTTTTATAAATCCAGCTGATTCATATTAATAATAAAATTAAACCAAAACAAAAAACTAAGGTTAGAGGTGTCAATTTTAATGTCACTTAGATGTGCGTTCACTTCGACATTCTGTGTGTTGGTTTGTTCGTTGGCTTGGTTTTGTATAACAAAAAAAACTTCGACACAAGATGATTGGTCTATTCCCGATGACGTATAATTTCAAATTTTAAATTTCAATTGGGCTTAATTTAAAAACTTTTAGCTTTTTTAACGAACTGACTATTTAGAATAACTTGTATAGCGACTAACTATTACAATATAATTTATAAAACAGCATATCTCACATGTGAACATGGCCCATTGAACAAGACCAAGTTGACAATACAATAAACAATTATTTACAAAATACTAACTATTTATTCATCCAGGATCCAGAGCACACCCAAATACAAACAAATAATAATTATTGACAATATGATATTGATAATCACAAAAAATACAGGTAAAATGGCAAATGTCATTCACCGCGAGGTAATCGATAATTGCTGCGTTTGAGAATCCACATCGGATGCATCTGAGATGTAAAAAATCTTTGATCACGTGATTCAGTATACGTATAGATAAAGTAAAAGTTGAAAAGTCTTTTGGTAGGTAGAGAGGGGGTAAACGTCAAACCACGTCGGGCGGCTCCGAGAATTTCACAGTAATGTTTACCTGCCAGTGTCGTTTCATAGAATAAGTAATTTTAAATTGTTATCGGCGGAACCGGACAATCGCATGTATTTATGGATTATAAATAATTATTAAACATGTATTATAATATTCAAATTATAATTTTACAAAATTTCAACAGCTATTCACAATTTATTAAACTATTTACTCGAAATTGTTATTAACATCTATAAAATAATTTTGTACGCCAATGTATCGTGTCCACTTCGGTGAGATCCGCTGACAACCTGTCAAGTTATGTGTATAAAGTGGGAGAACTGGCAAAAGCATTTCCAACTTTTACTTCTGTTCTAAATGCGGTAAATGTAATGGGACAGATGCACAAAGCACATAGAGGTTCCACGTGAATGACCAAGGTCAAAACCGACAACTGACATTTTTTATGCTATTTGCTCCAAACTCTAGATGGGGCTACTGGTGAAATTATGATTTCTTACTCCATTTTTAAGCCTTATGGGAGAAAAACTTAACCAAAGACTCCAAAGATGTGACGTGTATTTATTTACGTTCTTGGTTAGTTTCATTTTTCCGTCTGATTTTAGTGATTTTTTGTTGGCTTTGGCTTTTGGTTTCTGTTTATAGTTTCGTCTTAGTTATTTGCAAAATTGTGATGTTTCGCTTTTTTATTTCCTACTGTGTTTTGCAATAATTTTGGTGCTACGTTGAAAACTTCAGAAAAACTTCTTTGATTCACCATATATTCACCATGCATCTGCATCATAAAAAGACAAACGGGGACAACAACTAATTGATAATCAATTTATCACTGGACTAGATTCCGAAATCTGTATCACCATCTGTATTTGGAAGGAAAATACCTATTTATCATTGAATGAATAGTTAAAAGGATTCATCTTTTAATACAATACCTATATTACATTTATTTTGTCCTCCAGTTAAAAAGACATTTATAAAATATATAACTTTAGTGTTAATAAAATGTAATATCCTAGTCTCTACTTCACATTTACATTATTGATAGGTATTTTAAAGATTTGAGATTATATATCTATTTTCTCCAAGTAAGTATTCGTTAAATATGTATTATTATTTGTATTTATTTTTATCTAATAATATTTATTTAATTTATTAATAAACATATTTTAAGAATGTTCTATTTTATTATTTATTGATATATCTTATATTTATTTAATAAAAATATGCAGAACCAACTCTCCACATTAGACCCCTTATAACAAATTAATTCTTCAAATTTGGTATAATCGACCTAAATTATTTTGTAAAATAAAAGTTTCGAACTTACTAGTTCCATACTTTATTTTATAAAATAATTTATGTGGAAATCATTTAAAATTTAATTTAAAACTGCTACCTACTCCTAAAAATTATAATTTGAATTTACCGCCATCTGTCAATTGCCATTTTAGTTCCAGCTCCAAACACAAGGTGGCGCTAATTTGGTTTAAAAGTTTAACATTGGCGTGGGGTCTCTAGAAGATACATGCTTTGTGGACAGATGTGGATAAAAAAACGCTCGAGATGTAAAAAATGCATCCGATGTGGATTCTCAAACGCAGCAAATGGATGCCTGACAATGACAAATGACACTCCCACTCTTTCCACCATCAATTGTAGATTTCCGTAAATTGTTGTGTACAGCGCCATCTAGAATCTGTTCCTTGAAACAAAAATATAGTTTCAGCTCGGGCTATACTAGTTACCGATACCTGTTTATAGCACAGCTTATTCAAATGCTGCGTTTGAGAATCCACATCGGATGCATCTGAGATGTAAAAAATCTTTGATCACGTGATGCAGTATACGTAAATGTAATGGGACAGATGTGTCCGATGTGGATAAAAAAACGCTCGAGATGTAAAAAATGCATCCGATGTGGATTCTCAAACGCAGCAATATAAGCTGTGTTTATAGCAACAAAACCTAATTTATTTTCAAAGCCAGATTTACACCATCTAATAATATTTAAATTTAGCTTTAACTTTAAATTTATTAACGATTATCCCTGTATTTGATCACATATTATATTAAAGTGAAATTTAAAGGGGTAAATCAGTAAAATTATTGATTTCTTTGTCATTATTTTTGAAAACATATTTTTTTTAGGGTGTAAAACGGGTTTGAATTTAGTGATAGCAGCGCGCTAAGCGCTTACGGTTCAACTACCAACAAGGAAACAAGTCCCGCCATTTATTCAAACCTTCTCTTTTTATTTTTCTATGGCAGATAGGCCACCACTGCATAAAGTTATACAATATTAATCTCGCTATCATATAATCAGTATCTCTCTTTCTAATGAAGGCTTTCTCACTCGTTTTAGAATTCTCAGCAGTAGCGTACCGTAAAACAATTTTGCTGGGTCATTTTAAATGCGAAAATGTTGACCAAATAGAATATAAAATAAAATGTTTACAAGGTAGGTAGGTAGGTAGGTAGGTAGGTAGGTAGGTAGGTAGGTAGGTAGGTAGGTAGGTAGGTAGGTAGGTGCATTTTTAATGAAGTGAAAACAAAATATGACTTTTTTGTTATGAATTTAATATTAATAACAATTACTTTTAACACCACAACACGAACAAATTTAAATTAAACACTGGAATAATTGTCTGAGAAAAGCTTTGTAAAACTGACAAATACAAACAAAGAGATAGAGATATTAATCTATTTCTCTCTAATTAGAATTCTCGACCATATTATCATGGCGACACATTGTTTACTGTCCTCTCTTTACTACTTACTTACTCTGAGATTAAAAATATTGCGCCAAGATGTAGGCAACACGTAATAAGGGTTCAAAATGGCGGAGTTTGCTATCTCCTTTTAAAAGGTACTCAGAAAGCTGCGCAGTGCTACCATTCTCCGTATAGTAAAAGAAAATCAAAGTATGTGGACCGGAGCGATTCGCTCCAGCGACAGGAACGGAATGGAACGGCGACAAAATCGCTGACAAGCGAGTAGTGACAACTGACAGTAAAATCGCAACACATCTTTACAAGCAAATTACAGATGATGATAGCTGATGTTACAGATTTTTTTTTATTTATTTAAAGTCGGCAATTCTAGATATTTTTTATTGAAATTTATATAACAAATACAGTAATATGAATTCTAATACATTAAATATTTGGAATTGTAACATTATATATTTTGTATTAATTATTGTAAGTATTCACCGAAAAAATTAATTTCATTGCTATTTCAAATATTCTCACTAAATTAATTTCATGCTTTGTAGAATACCTTGTTTTTAAATATAAATCGTAAAATTTAAACGGGTGTAACTAAATTTAACGTTTTTACATAACCTTATTTAAAATTTAAAAAAACTTACATTGGTAGATATTACTAGTATATAATTACCTAATAGAGATTACTGTTTTCTAGATTACTTATTTTTGTGATCCTACCGATAGTGGAGCAGTTCAACTTACACAACAAAATGTAGATACAACTTTGGGTAAATAATTTACAAATATTTTTTATGTATTGTAATTAAGGTTTATTTAATTATTAAAATGTTTCTAAATGTTATTCATGCATCAAACAGGATAATCTTTTTGTTTTTCAGCTTTCAATGAACTGGTATTTATAAATTTTTATGCTGATTGGTGTAGATTTAGCAATTTACTTATGCCAATCTTTGATGAAGCCGCTGATGCTGTTTCTAAAGAATTTCCGGAGCCTGGAAAAGTTGTAATGGCGAAAGTAGATTGTGATAAGGAAAGTTCTATTTCTTCTAGATTTCAAATTTCAAAATACCCTACATTAAAAATTATACGTAATGGTCAACCGGCGAAAAAAGAATATAGGGGGCAGAGATCAGTAGAAGCATTTACTAGTTTTATTAAAAAACAATTAGAAGATCATGTTAGAGAATTTAAGGAGTTAAAAGAGCTGGGTACTTTGGAGTCTAATAAACGAATTATTATAGGTAAGTCATCCAGGCTTTTTCTATGTACTTTATAACTAGAGAGATTTTGTTTTTATATTGGTCTCAATAAAGGATCTGGGTAATGGCAATGTTGTAGTTGAATGGTCTAAAAATGCCCATGTTCACACCATTCTGCACTGACATCTAGAATTTGAACTTGCACAAGCCAGTTTGCCAAATCTCCACTTTCATTTTAGCTTGCTTCATTTCATAGTTTATTTTTTAACCAAATTGTAACCCCTGTACATTAAAATCTATGAAATAAATATAAAGATTTATATTATATTTTGAAACAACAATTTTGTTTTGTTTTATAAGACAGAATAATAATAATTGTCATTTATTAAACTAAAAATTCAGTCCAATAGGCTATCAACCGAAGTCCTTTCCTTTATAAGATAGATTTTAAATTTTGTAATCATCACTATTGAAAGGTATTATTGACATTAAAAATAACAATTATATTATTTAAAAATCATTAGAACATTTTTTATTTTTATGGGATTTTTAATCGATGTAAAAATTGGTAAATAGATGATTGTATACAGGTGTATACAGGTCTCCTCAAACCTCTACACAAGCATTTATAAGGGATTTAGAACATTCCATACTAAATCACCTAAATAGAAATATTAAAATATTCATAGGGGACATTAATATTGATCTCCTAAATGTTACCAATCAAGTAACCACTGATTACCAAGCAACTTTTTACTCCCATGGTTTCATGTCTTACATAAACACTATTACGAGGCCACAAAGTAAAACATGCTTGGATCATATATTCTTAAAAAACAATATTAAGACTGAAAATCTATCAGTGAACTCTTATGTAATCAGCTATGATATGACTGATCATGATCCTATTATGATAAATATCTCACAATCTGCCAAAAACTACACAAGTTCCTACAATACATATAAAACTATAACTAAAATCGATACTGATAAATTAAAACAAAAATTCGAAACTGTAAACTGGGAATGTGTTTGCAATGAAAATAAACCAGAAATTGTGACACAACTTTTTTATGACACGTATCTTAATATCATTGAAACATGTCAAACCACTCAAAATATTAAAATTAAAATCCATAAAAAAATAAAGCCATGGATAACAAATGGTTTAATTAATTCTATTAAAACTATCAAAACTTATCAATTAATCTCTGTAGCAACTAATGAAAATCATAAAAAATATAATACCAATTTACAGATTGTTAACCAACATAATGAGAAATTTGAAAATGATAATGAAATGGCGAATTACTGCAATAACTACTTTTCGACTATTGGCATTAATATGTTCACAGATATCCCTGAATGTAATGTGGATTTTCCTGTGTCACTGAAAAATCAATGTTTCTGAAACCGAAATGCGAAAACGATATAAAACACATAAATAGTTTAAAAAACAATAGTGCCCTGGGATTTGATTGTATAACAGTAAAACATCTGAAACTACTATATCCATATTTACTGGAACCTTTAATGCATATAATTAATTGTATTTTTAATACAGGAATCGTACCTAAACAATTTGAAACTTCAATTATAACACCTATTTATAAAGCTGGTAATCCAAAATTAATAACTAACTATAGGCCTATTAGTTTAATTAGTAATGTGGCCAAAATATTTGAGAAATATGTGAAAGATAGACTGACAGATTTTTTAAAAACTAATGACTTACTTCCCAAGCACCAATATGGCTTTACTGAGGGTCTTAACTCAGGAGATGCTATGCATGAATTGATTTCATATGTTACTGATGAAATGAATACTGGTAACAAGTGTATAGCTATATTTCTAGATCTAGCAAAAGCATTTGGCACGGTGCCACATCAGAAGCTCTTAAATGTTCTTGAACAGAATGGAGTGAGGGGCATCATGTTGAAGGTTTTTTAAAATTATTTGACACAGAGTCACAGACAACAGAAGGTAAAGGACAGAGACAATGTGAGTAACCCTGAAAATATACAAATCGGAGTGCCTCAAGGGACTGTTCTGGGACCTATACTATTTAATTTATACATTAAGAGCTTAACTCAGATTGATATTCAAGGTAAAGTTGTATCATATGCTGATGATACAGTGCTAGTCTTCAGTGATAAAGATTGGGAAGCCGTCAAGACACGTGCTATAGCTGGAATGGAACATGTCAAAAACTGGCTGGATGTTTTTAAATTGTCTTTGAATGTTAACAAAACAAACTACATTGCTTTTTCAAAGACAGTGGCTGATTGACCTCAATTTAGAAGCTTAACATGTCAAAATTTAGAAGCTTAACATGTCAAAATTTAGACATACAGGAAATAGAAACATCAAAATATTTAGGTATAATTATAGACCAGCACTTAAAATGGGACTGCCATATAATATATATAGCAAAAAACTTAGATTTCTGATTTATAAATTTTATCTTCTAAAACAATTTCTTAACCAGGATCTACTAATAACATACATTACTACAGTCTAGTAGAATCTATACTACGGTATGGAATCTTAGTATGGGGAGGCCTGTATGGAACTACATTAAATCAGTTAAATGTTATTCAAATCAAAATCTTAAAGTTAATATATCAAAGAGATAGATTGTGTCCCACCATAACTTTATATAATGAAAAAATTAGCAATGTTAGATGTTTATACAGTGAGCATTATAAGTCTTACCCCCTATCTAACTCATTACTGGAGTCTTATTAGGAAAATCGCCGAGACACGTCGATTTTTGATTTCTACAATGTACATTTTTGTATGAATAGTTTACGCTTAATTTCATCCCTTTCTGGAGGGGAGCAACCCTTTAGGAAAATTTAAATGGCATGGGGTGGTGAGTGATAGCTCATTTGAAAGGGGGTTTTATTCTCTATTCAACCGTGCAAAAAAAATTGAAATTTGCTTCATTAATTCTCGACTAATTATTGTTTCAGAATAACGGAAATTAACGTAGCACACTCATCCTTAGAATTAAAATTCGGCCCTGCATGTTATCGGTTTTGGTTCAGACGTGAAGTAAGACTTTTGCCATTAGATAAGGTCACTGTTGGTTAAGTTGCTTTCCTATTTGCGATATTTTGTTATTTTTAAACATTAATAAATCAACACGTAATGATGCAAATTTTAAAAATTTTTGCACGGTTGAATAGAGAATAAAATCCCCTTTAAAATGAGCTATCACTCACCACCCCATGTCATTTAAATTTTTCGAAAGCGTTGCTCCCCTCCAGTAAGGGATGAAATAAAGGGTAAACTATTCATACAAAAATGTACATTGTAAAAATCAAAAATCGACGTGTCTCGGCGATTTTCCTAACAAGACTCCAGTAACGAATTAGTTAGGGGGGGTAAGACTTATGGTGCTCATTGTATATTCACGCAGTGTGTTGTTATATACAAAAAAATAATTTTTAACACGCTTTTATTAGCTTCACCTGTATGTATGTATTGTAATAGAAAGGAATCATCCAGAACTTAAGAATAAAAGTCAATAAAATTTATATTTGTGTAAAGAATAAATTTAAAAATTATCACCTTGTACATAAAATTCTTAAAAAAAAAAAATTGTCAAATCAGATGTCAGAAATATCCGGGGAGACGAGGATTTTTGATAGATGTTAGAAGGTTGTTAAAAAAAAAATATCTGAAGGGAACCAAAAATTTTAAGTTTTTGAAGGCTTTGAATAATCAAAATTTAAAAGTAATTATAAGGATTTATAAAAAGTTGTAACATTGCAATAACAGTTTAAATAAACGAGTAGTATCAATCAGTTTTACGGTACAATAAACGGTGTAAATTGTATGGTGACCGGAATAAGGTGCAAGGTTAGTGCAGCCTTATTGTATGAAATGGAACTAAAAGGAATAAGAAAATTGGATCCAGTTAAGAATAAGACTTTTCATGTGAGTAGATAAGATTTTCTGGATGTGAAAGTAAAGGACAATTTGTTATTCGCATTGATATTTACCAAAGGCTGTCTCAACTTTTAGAGATACCTACAACAGACAATTAGGTATAATAGTAGAGATTCATAGTTATAGTTGTTACATTTTAGAATAAAAAGGTCAAAATTTGACTAAATGTCAACTTGAAAGATATCAAGTTAGATTTTGAAATTCTAAATAAAGTTTTAATTTAATTAATTGATAGATCATAATAATAGGTAAGTGTGAATGGTGATGAATGGATGCTTAGTTTAATTAAGTTAGTAGATAGGAAATTTTTCTAATGTTCAAAAATTTGAAATTTGTTAGAATTTATTGGTAATAAACAAGAAACGTTTGTAATTACAATTTGTCTATTTAAAAAAGTTAATATTTTTTTACAGGGTGATACAACTGACAATAATAATAAATATTCATAAAATAATAACTAATTATATAAATTACAAGTAAGGTATTTTATTGTTGGATTTGTTGTTGATACTATTTACTAAATAAACTAAATAAATTAAATAAATTAAATAAATTAAATAAATTAAATAAATTAAATAAATTAAATAAATTAAATAAATTAAATAAATTAAATAAATTAAATAAATTAAATAAATTAAATAAATTAAATAAATTAAATAAATTAAATAAATTAAATAAATTAAATAAATTAAATAAATTAAATAAATTAAATAAATTAAATAAATTAAATAAATTAAATAAATTAAATAAATTAAATAAATTAAATAAATTAAATAAATTAAATAAATTAAATAAATTAAATAAATTAAATAAATTAAATAAATTAAATAAATTAAATAAATTAAATAAATTAAATAAATTAAATAAATTAAATAAATTAAATAAATTAAATAAATTAAATAAATTAAATAAATTAAATAAATAAATAAATTAAATAAATTAAATAAATTAAATAAATTAAATAAATTAAATAAATTAAATAAATTAAATAAATTAAATAAATTAAATAAATTAAATAAATTAAATAAATTAAATAAATTAAATAAATTAAATAAATTAAATAAATTAAATAAATTAAATAAATT